ACCCGTTTGTAATTCTTAATTATTTTAAATGTGACTTTAAAAACAATCATTAAAAAAATTACAAGTTTGCCAAAATTTTATGTTTGAGTGTCTTAATTCATTTAGATCAGTATAAAACTGGAAAAACACTGGAAACAGAAGATATTTTATGTCTCTTTTTTCCCCTCATTAAATCATTTTTGGATCAAACAAACCACTAATATCGACTACATGAGCATCTTGGTTTTAAAATTAAATGTGTTTTTGAGTTTAAATTTAACATTTTAGGCTTTTGGTTAAGTTTCTAAATCCTGGAGTATGTGTTTTTTGGCAGAAGACAGTGGAGATAGACTGTAACTGTAAGTGTGTGTGTGCTTGTGTGTGTAGTGTAGTGAAATGATTTGGCTCATGCTTCTGCTGGTTTTGAGCAAGTGTCCCTGTGGTCAAGTAGAGTTTTTTTTCCCTTCAGGAAGTGGTCAGAACTTGAGGGCCAGTGCAACTGTTAACCTGGTGTTGATACACAAACACACACACACACTTTCCCTTTTTCACGATCTTTTTCTGACACACGCACGCGCGCGCATACACGCGCGCGCACACACACACACATACACTGACTTTGTAGGAGGATGTTATTGATCCATGTTAAAGGAAGGAAACGGGGATGTTTTCAGGAAATGGACACTGAATGGTCAGTTGCTGCCTGTCTCCGCAGCACTCACCTGGTTTAATAATACTTTATAATTGACCCACATTAAACAGCCTTCCACTTAGAAAACAAAATTGGCACCCTTGGGCTATTTTTTGAAGTGTAGACTGTTTTTTCTCTGGCTGGAATGACAGCTGTACAGTTCAATTTAATTCAGATTATTCAAGGCCAGTATGGATGTAAATATTTTATGCTGATCAGTCTTTTGTGCAGAAGCTTCAGTGGGTTTACATAGAGCCTGAGACATGATAAACTGACACCAAGTGCAGTTTCATCATAATAGTCCATACTGACTTGTCAGTGTTAATAATCTATCTGCAGATATGTGCTTTATTTTAACCCCCCACCCCCATTGTGCATTACTGGATTCCTGTCCATAAGCTTTACTACTAATAATGCCTGCTGGGCCTTCTCAGCTTTCCATGCTTTTGCAAGGAGGAGGAAAAAGAGGAAACATTGTGCTACATTTTATTTACTCGCGCAATTGAGCAGACGTGTTAAATATGTATCTAGATATGTTTTGTAAAAACGTGTGTCGCCTTTGAATAAACTTTGGCATCTCTATCGTTTCGGAACATCGAGTAAAGCGCGTCTTTCGAGGAGGATGTATGTAAAAAGATGACTCCTTTAAACAAACAAACAGTGTTTAAAAAAAGAGGGGAGGAGGGAAAAAAGGAAACAAAAAAAAGCTTGCTCCGGTGCTGGTGCTGCACCTCGGACCAGTCAGGGATGCAAATGATGCACCTTAACGGCATCAGGTACTGGAGTTGACAGAAAATAATGAGAACCCGCTGAATCTTTTATAAGGTTAACACTCACATTTCCCAGTCAGCTGTCACACAAGAAAGAATTTAGCACATGCATGCGGGCAAAATAAACCTTCATCGTCTCATTAATGCTGACAGGGCCCTGGACCGGCAGCTCCCAGCGCCTGCACCGCCACCACCTTCGTTTTGTGTCTGTAATTTGCAGCGGAGACAGACCCCCTTCTCCTGGAGAGAAAGAGAAAGGTAGGAGGAGGGAGATATTACGGAGGAGAGTGAGAGGGAAAGAGGGGAATGGTAGGGGATCGAGTGCAGAAGAAAAGAGGGAGGGAAGGTGGGCCGGGGGGGGGGGGTGAGAGGAAAGATGGCTAGCGCGCCAGGAGTCTGATTCTCCCCTAATTGGAAGCATTGGGCATTGTCAACGGAGGATTTTCAGCTGCTCACTGACAGGTAGAGCCGTCAGAATGATAGCCCACTTGTCAGCGCAAAAGACCAATAAAAACAAACCACTTTTGATTTAATTGGAGGCCTAACCATGGTGTGTGTGTGTGTGTGTGTGTGTGTGTGTGTGTGTGTGTGTGTGTGTGTGTGGTATAGTGCATGTGTGCATGTGTTGCCTGCAGGGCTGGGGCCATGGGGAGGTGGGTGGAGTTGAAAGGATGAGTGGGGGCATTTGTGTGTGAAGGAAATCATCACTCTAGCCATCAATGTGCTGCTCGCCCTTCCTCCATCTTTGCCACCTCTCCTCATCCTCCCTCTCATCCTGACTCACTCTCTGGGGGCGAGTGGTCACCGGGTGCCTGTGGTGAGAGGGTATCAGAAGAGGACGGGTTTTGATTCTGTCCCAGGAGGGCTTCCTGAGCAGCAAAATCAGAGCCACAAAAAAAAAAAAACAGTTTCTCCTCCTCCTTCATCCTTCTCAGTTTCTCTTCATCTTCTTCGTCCATCAATAGACTTGAGTTCAATACAGGATGAGCAGTGTTTGACATTTCTTCTGCTATACTCTGTCGAATGAGACTCACACAACTAGAGGAAACCATCATAAACTTTCCTTCTCCCGTGAAAGCAAATGTCACAGACATCCGTGACAGCTTAATGTCCACGATGCTGACGTGGCATGTTCAGCAAACACCAGGTCACGCGTCTACTTGTTTGCACAATTTTAGCCATTTTTCTTTTTTTCTTCAAGCAAAGTAATGACCTTAATTTGTTGGTAATCATCAACTTTTGCTAATTCATTATCAAAGTGGCTAAGTGAAGCACTCCTTTCTTGGCAGTTTTGAGTGGAGACGTTTGTTTAGCAGAGAAATGTGGTAAAAAAAAAAGGAGATGTGGACTTCGTGGTATGTTTAAGTTAAAGTACATCCAAATGTGATTACATGACCATTTAATACAATTTCAGTATGTTGTGTTTCTCATTAGCATCACACCATTGCACTATTGATCGTTATAATAATTAGGATGCCTCATTTGGATCTATTAGCTTTCATCATTGCATGTTCATGCATCTGACTATGCAGCTTACCCTCCCGTCCTGCTCCGTGGGCTCGGTGTGCATGCCTCT